TTCCCAGAAAGCTTCATTTATATTTGTTTCCCAGTATATGCTAGTCTTCTATTGCCTTTCTAAGACTAAAGAAAGACAGAACAAATGAATCCATAGGTTTTATTTACTAGGTTTTGATTTGGTGACTAACTGGATGAAGAGGGCTCAAAAAATTAAACTAGGGTAATTAAACTGAAAGATGCATAGTCATTTCTGAAGTACTTTTTTTGAGAACCACAGTACTAAGCTGGACGTTCAGAATTGTTTTTCTTGCTGTTGCTCTGTTTAAGTTTCTCAGATTAAATTTAGTTTAAAGATACCTTATCTAAAATTTATTTTATTTTTAAATTTTATTGATTATGCTAATACAGTTGTCCTAATTTTACCCCCTTTGCCCCCTTTTACCCAGCACTCCTCACTCCCTCAGGCATCCCCCCACCATTGTTCATGACCATGGGTCATGCATATAAGTTCTTTGGCTACTTCATCTCCTATGGTATGCTTTATATCCCCATGGCTATTCATTCTGTAACTACCTACTTGGATTTCTTAATCCCCTCACCTCTTCACCCATTCCCCTATATCTCGTTCCCCTCTGGCAACCAACAAAATGCTCTCTATCCATGATTCTGTCTCTATTCTTGTTTGCTTAGTTTGTTTTTTAGATTCAGTTGTTGATAGATTTGTATACTTTGCCATTTTACTGTTTATAGTTTGGATCTTCTTAAATTAGTCTCTTTAACATTTCATATAATAATGGTTTGGTGATGATGAACTCCTTTAGTTTTTCCTTGTCTGGGAAGCTCTTTATCTGCCCTTCAGACTGAACAGTAGCTTTGCTGGCTAGAGCAATCTTGAGGTCCATGCTTTTCGTGTCTTTGAATATTTCTTGTGAATCCCTTCTGGCCTGTAAAGTTTCTTTTGAGAAATCAGCTGACAGTCTTATGGGAACTCCCCTGTAGGTAACTAACTTCTTTTCTCCTGCTGCTGCTTTAAAGATGCTCTCTTTGTCTTTAAGCTTTGGAATTTTAATTATGATGTGTCTTAGAGTAGGCCCCTTTGCATCTATCTTGTTTTGGACTCTGTGCTTCCTGGACTTGTAAGTCTATTTTGTTCACCAAATTAGGCAAGTTTTCTGTCATCATTTTTTCAAATAGCTTTCCAATTTCTTGCTCTTCTTCTTCTCCCACTAGCCTCCAGTGCTGCAAAAGTTGTCCCAGAGGCTGTTTATACTATCCTCATTTTTTTAGATTCTTTGTTTTTTTCTTGTTCTGATTGGTTGGTTTTTTCTTCCTTATGTTCCAAATCATGAATTTGATTCTCGGCTTCATCCACTCTACTGTTGTTTCCCTGTAAATTGTTCTTTATTTCCATTAGTGTATCCTTCATTTCTGACTGGATCTTTTTTGTGCTGTTGATGTTCTCACTAAGTTCCTTGGGCATCCTTATAACCAGTGCTTCAAACTCTGCATCTCATAGATTGCTTATCTCCATTTTGTTTAGCTCTACTTCTGGAGTTTTGATCTGTTCTTCATTTGGGCCATGTTCCTTTCCCCTCATTTTGGCAGCCTCCCTTTCTATTTATTAGGTAGAGCTGCTTCACCTCCATGTTCTATTAGTGTGTCCTGCTGTAGTAGATGTCCTGTAGGGTCCAGTGGCACAGCCTCCCCTATCACCCAACCTGGGTACTCAAGGTGTACTCCTATGTGAGCTGAGTACACCTTCCTCTTGTAGTTGATCCTTGGTTGCTGTTGGCAGATCAGTGGGAGGGATTTACCCAGGCCATTCACCTGCAAGATTGACTATGACCACTGACCACCAACCTCTACTCTCCTTGGAGGATCAGCAGTGCAGGGTTAGGGTGATGGTGCTCCCATGAGGTCAGTAGCTGTCCACTGGGTGCTCTGGCCCTGGGTTTTCCCAGGTGTGTGCAGCCAAGGTCAGCCTTCACCTGTGTTTTTCTGGGGGCCACCCTGCCTAACCAATAACACAATCTGAGATGGCTGCTACCTGTGCTGGGCTTGGCTATTCTCAGGCAAAACCACGCTGTGAATCTAGACTGACCGCTGGCAGTTAGTGCCAGGCCTGCAGCTTACTGAAGCCAGCTGTCAGTTGTTTGAGAGAATTTAGGAAGTTGTGCAGTATGAGCCAAGACCAGCCATTCATATGGAAAAACAGCTTGGTTGGGTCTCTAAATTGGGTGGGGTGGAGTCTCTGGGGATCTTCAGGGCTGGTCAAACAATATTAGCCAGGTTGATGGAGTGTCAGATCTAACACCAGCTTCAGGGCTTCATGGCTCTATGGGGGGAGGGTTTAGAAAAAGGTCAGTGGCCTCTGGGCTCTTTGATGCCAGTCACTTCAGTTTCTGCAGATGCCTTTCAAGCTGTTACCCCAGGGTTGGAGCTCAGAGGGAGTGAGTCTGAGTAGGTAAGTCCATATGTAGGTTCTTTCAAAGGAACTGCTTGGGGCTCCAGTAGTTTCTTCCAGGAACTCAATCCCTGCTGATTTGCAGCCAGAAGTTGTGGGGACTTATCTTCAGGGCACTGGAACCCTGGGGAGGGGGCCTGGTGTAGGGTTGGGACTCCTTGCTCCTGAGATATGCCTTCCAAATTTTTATACACCACACATGGATGTGCGACTAGCCCATTCTGCATCTGTGCCCCTCCAACCAGTCGGGATGGATGTGGTTTCTTCAATTCCACAGTTGTCAGACTTCCATTAACTCAATTTCTGATAGTTCTGAGTGACTGTTATTCTTAGTTATTCTACACTGGAGTTGTAATTTTAATGTGGTTTTGCGAAGAGGCAAACTATCTGCGTACACTGCCATGTTGGTTGGGCTTACTGTTATTTATCAGGCCATGTTACAGGAAGCTCATGGCTATTATTATTGTTGTTGTTGTTGTTGGGTTCTCCTAAATTTTAATTTAGGTAAGAATGATTAATTTTGGCCCTGGCTGGTATGGTGTAGTGGGTTGAGCGCCGGCCTGTGAACCGAAGGGTTTGATTCTCAGTGAGGGCACATGCCTAGGTTGCTGGCCACGTCCTTGGTGGGGGGTGTACAAGAGGCAACTACACATTGATGTTTCTGTCTCTCACTTCCTCACTCCTGTCCCCTCTCTAAAAATAAGTAAATGAAGAAAATCTTTCAAAAAAATAAAAGTGATTGGTTTTGAATGCCAGACGAGGAAGAAGTAGACTCCAGGGGTATTCCCTCTGTAGCTTCGAGGACAAGGTTGTATTTCAGCCATATTTTATTAAGAAGTGGAGTTCATTACTCTTTCTTCACTTAGCTTCAATGACTCAAGCTTAACTGGACAAGGTCTTGCCAAGTTCCTGAGTCAAATGTTCACTTTATCTTGCACCGAAGGCAGTGGACATTCCTGTTGGATATGCCGTCTAGGAAATTGTCTGAGCTTCTGTCACCTGAGCTGGTGAGTTGTCCCCCCTTTAACAAGGAGGAGAACATTTAGGCATCACTGGATTTTTAGGTGATTCATTGGAGCAATCAGCTACCGGTACCCTGGATTCTGCTTTTATTCAATCCTGCTTCTGTGCTACCTTGGGGGCCTTTCATTAAGAAATCAAAACAAAGCTTTTAGGTAATCTGAGGGTTCAGATGTTAAGAAGCAGCCACAGCTTAGTGGGGCACTGACTTCCAGGCAAAGAGAGGTACACTGCTGAAAACCAGAACAGCTATTTGGAGGGAGCAAAGATGATACCCACCCCTGCCACCCCAACCCCACATGAAGTGGAACGAAGGTCAGCCAAGGTACTGGAGCAGCAGGTCTTAGAATGAATACCAGTCAGAGAGGGGAGAGAGGTAAGCATGTACCACAGAGTAACTTTTGTCCTGAGTCAGTTGTAACCCTGGGGGGGAAATTAAATATTTTCCTTCTTTTCTATATCACCTATTCCCGAGACCCAGACGAAGGTGGGACAGGTTTTGTATAACATGGTTTCTATGGGAAGATGCTGTCTGGGCCTGGGAACTGACAGACTTTTGGAGTGCATCCATAAATGGGAGGCTACCTGTGCTAAGCATGTATTTGCAGTTTGGAGATTTCAATCAAAAAATAGTTTTCCCCCCATCTGTGAGAAAGATTTTTTTTATTTTGAGAAGTGGGTCATGTTGTGAGTTTCAGAATGTTGAGGTTTTTTAAAGGTAGCAGAAGGAATTTAGGAGCAAGGGCTGTGGAGTTCACCTGACTGGGTTTGAGGTGGGTCTTCCCAGGGAGACCTAGGGCAGGTTTATCTCCTCAAGTCCCACCCAGATCCCCACCTGTAACCTAGTGCTAGGCTCCTACAGCAGATGCTGCATTTACCTCCACCCCGGCCAGGTATGTTTTAGTGAATGTTAACTACTCTTGACTTTGTTTTCGTTCTTATCTTGTCTTCCTCTGTTCTGCAGGGATATTGTGTATTGATCGTTCACTGTAGAATGGTTATCTCTTTGTACCAGTGTCATGAGGAAGTCAGGATATTTAAGATCTAACCCTGAACTGTCCCCTCAAGAAGCATTTGGTTAACCTATTTCTGTGAGATCGTTTCTGGTTTTTGAAAATTTCTAGGCATATGTTCAAATATTTTCTCTACAAAAGAGTAGCTAATTGTGCTGAATGGATGTGGTGTTTTTGTAAGGCTTCAACTCTTTGCTGGGGAGACCAAATGGAATTTTTAAAATTGGATGTATGTAAATAACAATGTCCTGAATGAGTGTCCATCTTTAGCTCATTGTTTGCTGTAGAGCAGACTAGTTTTGCTCATGAATTCCTGACCAATTATCTTATTCTAGAACTGTATTTGCAAAATAATACATGAGTATTAGAAAGGGCACTGACTGGTGATACCAGATGTTTTGGCTTCTGTCAACAGAGGTTCCTGGACTAGGGGAATCGCTTTAAATATCGTTTACCTTTAAAATTCCTTAAAAGTGAATTATTTTTAACTCGAAAAGATTTTAAATCTGTACTGTATTTTGCACTTTTAAAATCCCGTGCCTCCCCTGCCTTGTCTTTCAGCATTAAACTGAAAAGATGTCCCTGTACGACGACCTGGGAGTGGAGACCAGTGACTCCAAAACAGAGGGCTGGTCCAAAAACTTCAAACTTCTGCAGTCTCAGCTTCAAGTGAAGAAGGCAGCTCTCACTCAGGCAAAGGTAAGATAAGCCCACAGTGTGAAAGCAGAAGTCTACAGAGCAGGTTCCTCCTTAGATTAAGAAGAATAATGGTTTTAGCTTGCTGCTGAGAGAGAGGTTATATGTAGAGAGGATGGAGGAATTTAAGGTCATTTTGCTTCTCCCAACTCTTAGAAATAGAACTGTTGCAGGGATTCCTATGAGAAAGGCAGTACTCTCGATCTCCAGCAGTGATACAGGGTTTCAAGCTTCAGTATGTCTACAATTACTGAGAATTTGGTTAAAATACTGCTTTAGCAGCCATGTGCCTGATGCTCTAGTAAATTCTGATTCTGGGTTAGGGCCTCAGGTGTCTATTTTGGTTACCATTCCTGCTGTTAGTTGTAGGTAGTTTGGAATCAGCACCTTGAGAAAGAAAGCTCTGTAGTAATTACAAAGCTATAATAAGGTGTATGCACTATTGAGGGCTCACAGCAGTTGTGAACGTGGCCTGGACGTCATTGTTTCTGCTCCTGTTGTATACATGTTGGGCATTGGCAACATCCTTGAATTTACTTAACATATAAAATGTGAAAAACATAGTTGTCCACTGGGTGTTTGATATTAAAATGTTACTGTCAAATACTTTTAGAAATGTGAATGGTATTATAGATTGCTTACTGTTCTAAGGGCCCTTATGTTTTATAGCATGCATCCTCCAGTGGAGACCATATGCTCCTGAGTGGGGCAAATACTGATCCGAAGGGGGTGAAAATAAGCTTGCTCTTTTTATGTATAAAGCGCAGATAGACACAATAAAGTACATAAACAGATACACAGTATATTATGGTATTAAAATTTCATGGGTAGGGCAAAATTATTAAAAGTTTCTTTGAGGGGGAGGCTATAATGAAAAATGTTTTAAAAATCCTTTAGAGATATATATTAGAATATTTACTGATAAAATGATGTAATTTCTGGGCTTTACTTCAAAATAACCTAGTCTGGGGCAGGGGAGATAAGGATGTACATGCAACAAAATTGGCCATGAGTTGATAGTTGTTTCTATCAACTGGGTGATAGAGACTTAAGAATTCTTTAACAGTCTCTTTAATTTTATGTTTGAAACTTTCCATAATAAATAGTTATTTGAAGTTGGAATTGTTTTTCTTTTCCTTCACTATATTAATAAACACTTTTATTGAAATTCTAACATCTGATTGCTATGTACTATAAAAGGTTTTTAGAATTGGGATATCCACAGGTAAAGCGGCATTGTCTTAAAATTTAATTTTGTTTTGTTAATTGGTTAGAGTTTTTGTCTTCACATTCATTATTACAAGGTTTAAATTTTTTGTGCTGTATTTCTTTTTAAAGACATAGAATTTTTGTCTTTTTAGAATAAGCTTTTATTCTACGTGAAAGGAAGATTATTGACAAAGCCTTTTCTTCCTTTTAATTTTAAAATTGATTTAATTTTTAATTTTTTTGTAAGTTTCATGTAACTTTTTTCTTCTTATTCCCTGACTTATTTGTTTCTTACCATTTGAGGATATCAATTAGAAGGCATTTTCTTTTCTCTTTTTTTAATTTTTTAAATTTTAGAGAGAGGGAGGAAGAAAGAGAGGGAGAGAAACATCAATGTGCAGTTACCTTTCCTGCACCCCCTGACTGGGGACCTGGCTCACAACCCAGGCATGTGCCCTGGCCGGAAATCAAACCACAGACTTTGAGATGTGTACATTAGGTGTATAAATAAGGTTTTATGTTTTATGTATTTTATTCTTGAAGGCCTAATCTTCTCTTTTGTAAAATGGTTCCAAGGAGCAAAGAGCAAGTCTCATCTTAGCAACATAAACTCAGATGTGTGGGCAATCTTAATCCAATGGAAGATAACAAAACAGAAAACAGAAAAGCAGAAGTCAAAATATTCTAGAGATGTACAAATAAAAAGTTTTTGGGCCCTGGCTGGTGGGGCTCAGTGGATTAAGTGCAGGATGAAAACCAAAGGGGTCGCTTGTTCGATTCCCAGTCAGGGCACATGCCTGGGTTGCAGCCCAGGTCCCCAGTAGCTGGTGCGGGGGAAGCAGGCACACTGATGTTTCCCTCCCTCTCTCCCTCCTTGTCTCTGAAAAAATAATAAAGAAATAAAATCTTTTAAAAAAAACACAATGGTATTCGGGATAATATTTTATAGCCAGTTTAAAAATTATCAGTCTTGTGTATAACTTGCAGCCAGGTTTTGGTTTGTTTTTTTTTTTTTTTTTTTTTAGAGGGGAAGGGAAGGAGAAAGAGTGGGAGAGAAACATCAGTGTGTGGTTGCCTCTCATGTGTCCCCTGCTGGGGACCTGGTGCAGCCAGTCTTTTAAAATCCTAGCTAATTTGATTCTTCTTGCCAAATACTTTGGGATCACTTTTTCTATCCAGCTAGTGCATATTTATAAACTATAGGTTAAAAGGCAGCTTGTATTAAATACAATTGACAAAATAGATTCTTCTAAAAAATAAATAGTAAAAAGTCAAATAAAATTTACAGATTGCATACTGATTTTTCTGTGCCATTATTTTACTCACATGAAAAGTAAAGGGTTGGATGCTGATAATCAAGGAATTATGTTTTTATATGAAATCTAGACTCTTAGACGTCCTCTCTGTTACCTGCTTCAGTCTGTGTAATTTATGCTTATCAACTTTTCACTTGTCCAAATACATTACTTTCAGGAGATCTATTGAGATTTCAAAATAGATATTTTTTGTAATTGGTCAAAATAAAAAGTTGCTTATGAAGTCATTACTGCTACCTTTCTAACATCTTTTTGAGATTGCCATGTGAAGTTAATGTTGTTTTTTTTTTTTTAAGGGAGTGAAGATACATTTCATTGGTTTTTCTAGGCTATTTAATTTACTACTTAATTTTACTCAGCACAAATTTGGCCTAACGAGGTTTGTAAAGGTATTTGGTTGAGAAAATGTGGCCTACAAACCAAAAGATGGAATTGTGGTTTCATCTGTATCTCCACTGTAAAATATATCAAATGTATAACTCTGATGATGCCCCCTCCCCTATCCTTCCAGCTGTGGTATTCACTTGGTAAATTGTACATTTAATGATTGGATTAAATTTGTTTGCTTAAAATGATAAATGATGCTAAATTTAAGGGTGATGGATGGTGGCTTATTTTGACCCTTTTGTAGTGATAATAATGCAAATGTATAATATTTTAAATTGCAAAGAGAGGGGGTAATTAAATCTCCAGAGATCAGGTGGTTACCACTATACTTATCTGATCACACTTAGCATTACTAACAGACAGGCCGGCCACATGTGCCTGCTGGGGTGATGCAAAATGAAGCACACCACCTCACCTATGGCGTATTCTTGCCAAAAAACACTACTCTAACCTAAATTAAGATTTAACTCAGTTTTCAGGAATTATATGGCATAGAGGAATAAGTGAAACTAGACCACTAGGAATTTATCAGACAGATGTAGAATGTACAACATTGTACAAGACAGTGTCAGAGGAAAACAATGGAGAGAAAAATGATGGTGATGGTGATGATGACAACAAAGAAGGAGGATTTTCCTATATCAAGAGTCTTAAAAACCAAATGCATTGTAGAACTTTGGTGGGATCCTTGGTTCAAAATAAAATCAAGTATTTAGAAGACATTTTGGGGACAGCTTGGAAAATCTGAGTATGAACTGGATAGGAAATGACACAAGGAATTATAATTGATTTTATTAGGTCTGGTAATAGTGTCATGGTTATGTAAGAGGATGTCCATAATTTTAGGAGATTAAGTATAAAGCATCCTTGGGTTTTCAAATGCCTTTGAAATGGTTCAGTATAAATACAGGTATAGGGTAAAATAGATTGGTAAGATGTTAACCATGCCTGAAGCTATCTGATTGATCATGTTTACTTAAAAAAATATTTTTCTGTAGGTTCATAATGAAAGAGGTAAGACAGGATTTTATATTCTCTGGGAGGAAAAACACTTATCTACAAGTAACTTGCTAAGCATATAAAAAATATCCACTTTAGAGGAAAGATCCACGCTAGTCAAAAAGTGTATCGTGCTGTTACAGATTTGCCCTCTTGGTCAAAGGAAAATCCACTGTACATGCAAAGTTAAATTAAACTGACCAAGTTTACTATAAGTTTTTTTACAATGGAGGAAATTTGTATTTAAAAAGAACACGGGCTAATGAAACTAGTATGTGCTTATAGTAATAATTGGATTATGAGGGGATCCCCCAAACCAACATTTATTTATAGAAGATGTATGTTGTATTTATGCTTACATGTTTAAACTTAAGTCGTCTTCAAAGCACTCTCCCTTTGATGAAGAACATCTATGGAGATGTTCTTCCCACTGCTCAAAGCGGTTTTTGAGCTTGTCAGTTTTGATGCCTTGTAGAGCTTCTGCCGTTTTTTGTTTCATCTTTTCCACATGGGCAAAATGTTTCCCTCTGAGGACTTTTTTCATCTGAGGAAACAAAAAAATTTCTTGGGATGAAATGGGGTGAATAGGAGGGGTGGGGCACAGAAGTCATGCTGTTTTTGGTCAGAACTGCTGAACACTCAGATTGGTGTAGGCAGGTGTGCTCGTAAATCCCCATCGCAAAATGGGCAGACATGCTGAAGGAGTCTTCCAAAAAATTTAACTGAAGTGGAACGCAGCCTCTCACAACAAAGCCAGTTGGTACACTGGTATAGATGGGTTCACCTAGTGGGGAAAGCCTGTACTACAAAGGGCCCACCCACTAGAAGATAATTCTGGGGGGTTTTGGGGTCCCCCCTTGTAAAACTCTAAAGATTTGGTTTTCTTCTTGCAGAATCTGAAAGGTTCCTTACAGAGACTGCCCCCCCCAAAAAAAAGCTTTGTTACAGATAGTATGGATTTTAGTTTGAAGGCTCAGTATACTCTTCTTGTTTTTCAATAATTTTAGAGCCAGAGAACAAAACAAAGTACAGTCCTTGCCCCAGTAATCGACCTAAAGCGTGGTGGCTCTTCAGACGACCGGCAGATTGTGGACACCCCACCTCATGTAGCAGCCGGCCTAAAGGTAAGCCTGCCCCTGACCTCAATGGCTTTCCTGCTCACGGCGTGTCTTATTTTATGCACATGTCTCTGAACACAGTCTCCTCAGTAGGCCTTTGCAGTCTGGTCAGTATCATTTTCAACTTAATTTTTACTTTTGTTTCTCAAGTTTAAATCATTTGGCTATTTAAAATAAAATGGTTCATTATAGAAAAATCAGACATCAGAGATAAACAAAAAGAGAATAATTGGCTTCAAATCTACCCAGAAATTAAAAACTTTATATTGTAGAATAGCTTCCCATCCTAGGCCTCGTCTACCTACTGTTCTCTAACCTGCCTGTCTCGCTTAATATATAGTGACTGTCGGTCTGTGTCCAAAAGTATTTTAATGGCTTCACTGTATTCCCTCATGTGTGTACTGTAGTTTACTTAATTTGCTTAGTGCTGGATATATAGGTTATTTATAGTAAAAAATACTAGTATTCATTGTTTTTTCATGGGTTAAAATGAAGTGTTAAAAAATAAAGAAAGTCTACCACCTACCCTTTATCAACCCAGTGATTCTACATGAGCTTAGAAACTAAGAAATAGACAACTATGTAAATGGGTTAGTGAGGATGAGAAAAATCTGGAAAAGGGTAATTGCAAATCATACTTAATGAGGGGCAAATGAACTTAAACAAGTTTTATGCTTAAAATTATACCCACTCTAGGTCTATGTTTATTCTCCATAGATGTCATTCAGATAATACCACAGAAGTAGTTTAAATAGCACTATGTAGGTACACAAGTTGCTTGATGAGAAATGACCCACAGGTTAAAGATAGGAAATGCTGTTATTGCTGACTGTTTCTTAGCAAGGTACTTTTCCTAGCCGCACCCCCGACCACCAACTATTAGAAAGGACCCCAAACAAGCTGAGGCACAATTTCAGCTGCATACTCCTTCCCGTCTTTATTTTGTTTCTCATCCTCATAGTTTTGACTGTTCTGGTTTGGAATCCACTTGCTCCTCAACCTTGCTTTTTCTTGGCTGGGAGACCTGGTACTACTGCAGGCTAACAGTCTGTGGAGCGGAAAGAGCACCCCACAGCAGAAGTGTTTTGGGGGGATTCTTAGTGATTTAACTTTTTTACCACATACTCACCACATAACTTTTTTCACTACATCTACCCAAAAGCTGATCCATCATTTTCTGTTACTGTGTATTGATTCTAGAGCCACCCCAAAATTTAATCAAGCATTTTTTTCTTGTTACAAGTTTCATAATCGAAATTTTTATTAAATGTATTTTATTTACTATGCAATTACAGTTGTCACATTTTTCCCCTTTGCCCCCCTCCACCCAATACCCTTATTCCCTCCAGCAATACCCCCTATCGTTCATGTCCGTGGGTTGTACATGTAAGTTGTTTGGCTTCTCCATTTCTGTACTATTCTTAACATCCCTCTGTCTATATTGTGCCTACCGATCATGCTTATTATTCCCTGCACCTTTGCCCACATTCTCCCTCTTCCCCTTATTCTCCCTCTTCCCCCTCCCTGCTGATAACCCTCCATGTGATCTCCATTTCTGTGATTCTGTTCCTGTTCTAGTTGTTTATTTTATCTTATCTTATTTTGGTTCATTTGTTGATAGTTGTGAGTTTATTGTCATTTTACTGTTCATAGTTTTGATCATCATTTTTTTCTCAGATAAGTCCCTTTAACATTTCATATAATAAGGGCTTGGTGATGATGAACTCCTTTAGCTTGACATTATCTGGGAAGCACTTACCTGTCTTCCCATTATAAATGATAGCTTTGCTGGATAATCTTAGATGTAGGTCCTTACCTTTCATGACTTTGAATACTTCTTTCCAGACCCTTCTTGCCTGTGAGGTTTCTTTTGAGGAATCAGCTGATAGTCTTACGGGAACTCTTCTTTAGGTAACTCTCTTCTTTTCTCTTGCTGCTTTCGGATTCTCTCTTTATCTTTCACCTTTGGCATTTTCATTATGATATGTCTTGGTGTGCCCTCTTAGAGTCCTGCTTTTTTGGGACTCTGAGCTTTCTGGACTTGTATGTCTCTTTCCTTCACCAGTTTGGGAAGTTTTCTTTCATTAATTTTTCAAATAAATTGTTGATTTCTTGCTCTTTGTCTTCTCCTTCTAGTACCCCTATGATTTGGATGTTGGTAAGTTTAAAGTTGTTCTAGAGGTTCCTAAGCCTCTCCTCATTTTTTTTTTTTGGATCTCTTGTTTCTTCTTTCTGTTCTGGTGATTGTTTATCTCTTCCTTTTGTTCCAAATTATTTATGTGAATCTTACTTCCTTCCCGTCACTGTCGGTTCCCTGTGTATTTTTATTTCACTTTGTATTACCTTCACTTCTTTCTTTATTTTGCGGCCATACTCAATGATTTCCGTGAGCATCCTGATCACCAGTGTTTTGAACTCTGCATCTGATAGATTGGCTATCTCCATGTCAGTTCTTTTTCTAAATTTTGATCTGTTCTTTCATTCGGGTCATATTTCTTTGTCTTCTCAGTGTGGTGGGTTCACTGTGTTTTTGTGTATTAGGTAAAGCTGCATTTATTCCCCATGTTGGTGCACCTGTTATAAGGGGTAGAGCCTTAGGTACTTGCCAGAGTTCGGCAACCAGCTTAGCCTCTTGTGACCCTTTATGTGAGGGAGGAGTCAGAGAAAGAACAATTCCACTTGCTGGCTCTTGCCTTGTTTCCAGTTACTTCCCCCACTTCCCTTAAGTGAGTAGCAAGTGCTGATTATCCCAGTGGGTAGACTTGTGTATGTTCTAGGACCCTGTAGGCCCCTCAAATGGACTGTCCTGTGAGATCGGCAGTTTCTTGCAGTGCTGTAACCCCCACTGGTTTTTACAGCCAGAGGTTATGACGCTTTATTTCCCACTGCTGGAACCATGGGCTTCAAGGTCTGGTCTGGGGCTGGAGTTGCTTGCTTCCCGATTGTCCCTCCCAGTTTTTATCAGCTGCTTATGAATGTGGGACCACCCATTCTTCCGGCTTCCGCTGCCTCGGTGTGCCACACACGTCCTCTCCACCCTGCTTCCCAGTCTCCTCCCCTCCCACCTGTGTGGGTGAATGATTCCTCTTAAAATCCTTGCTTATCGGACTTCCATACGGTTCAGTTTTCTGGCAGTTCTTTTTTACTTTTTATTTTTAGATTGGTTGTTATCCTTCTAATGGTTGTGCGAGGAGGCAAAGCGTGTCTACCTATGCCTCCATCATAGCCATAAGTCCCTCATAATCAATTTTTACTTCTGAAGTATTCCCATCAAGTGGGTGTGTTATAATTTATACAAGAGTTTCCTGACTGTAGAACCATCTAGATCTGCTTTTATGTTGTTATCATAAATAACACTCTAATGAACATGTCCATAGAGAGTGCTCCATGCATGTGAAATTATTTTCTTAGGATAGATTTCCTGAGGTGGCATTAAGAGATCGGTCATTTTTTAAAAATATTTTATTTATTTATTTTTCGAGAGAGGGGAAGGGAAAGAGAAAGAGTGGGAGAGAAACGTCAATGTATGGTTGCCTCTCATGCATCCCCTGCTGGGAACTGGCCTGCAACCCAGGCATGTGCCCTGACTGGGAATCGAACCTCGATACTCTGGTTCGCAGGCCCGCACTCAATCCACTGAGCTGTGCCAGCCAGGGCGAGAGATCGGTCATTTTTATTACCAGTTTGTTTAGTGCTGGCTTGTTTTCAGCAGAATTGTGTTAATATACAATATCACCCACAATATATGAGTATTTTGGTTTTACCCACCTTTCCCATCATGGGACATTAGCATTTTAATTGTTTTAAATCAACAGATTGCTTTATTTATGGTATTTAGAGAAGAATGGCTCATTGTTAAACTTAGTAGGGCTTTTTACAGTAAAAAATAATTTGATTTTAAATTTCATGTTGACTGTTAGTTCTTTCAGTAGAAACTTTGTGATAATAGTACTGCATAAACTGACAGGCTGATTACTAGTTTCTCTCCTATCTTAATAATAACTGAAAGGAAATCTTGTTTATGTGCCTTTGTATTTTTTAAATGCCTTTAATATTAATGGAAATTCATTACGTGCCCTTTGGGGGCCCTATGTTTTTAATAGATTTGTGTAAATTTTCCAGTGATAGGACCTGGGAGGTGACTACAGTTACTTTTCTAATTTCTTTTATTCATTGAATTACAGTGTTTCTCGATTTTTAGTATAAGGAAAAGATAAAGTATTTGTTTTATAATATATAATGTCAGATGAAATAATCTAATATTCTAAAATATCAAACTTAACAAGAATTGTTGGATTTAAATTTATTGATATTGAACATAAGCTCATATCTTGTCAATTTTCTGTTCAAAACTAAATATTTACAACCTTTCTGTATTTGATAGTATTGGGCAGTGTACCTCTTAAAAGAGGTGACTAGTCCTAAGTTATGCTTATTTAAGATGTCTGTGGAGACCAGTTAAGGCCTCTTATTTTTACAGATAATAAGAAAGAGTTAAATGCTAAGAAAACATGGAGGAAGAAAGTATGGAGGTTTAGGAAACTTAGACCATGTGTTATACTGGGGCTTCCTTGAGCCATGTAGAAATCAAGACCACCAACCTAGGGTAAAGCCCCATTTCTTTTTTTTTTCTCTTTAGAGGGGAAGGGAAGGAGAGAGGGAGAGAAATATCAATGTATGGTTGTCTTTCGTGCTTCCCCTGCTGGGAACTGGCCCGCAACCCAGGCATGAGCCCTGACTGGGAATCGCACTGCGATGCTCTGGTTCGCAGGCCCGCCCGCGCTCAATCCACTGAGCCACACCAGCCAGGCCCCATTTCTAATCATGTATTTTCTAGTTGGCTGTGCTCTGCCTGCCTTTTGTTTTTTCTTATTTCTTTGTTAAGCCTACCTCTTTTCTCTTAAAGAATAAGCAACCCTAGTTTCTAAATGTTGAGAAGTGAAATACAAAATGTTATCTTCCGAACTTGATCTTAGTGGACCTTAAAAAATTAATGATAATATGAGGGGAATTATATCCACGCTGTGCCAGACTCAGCACATGAAGGGCAGCCGACCTGGGAGGGGATGCATTCCAGAGGATTTCAAAAAGCCCACAGGGATGCTTTTTGCTTTTTTAAGTCTTAATATATCATGTCTGTCCATGTAATCAAAATTTAAAGTCATTCTATTAAATGATCACAAGGATGATTGTGTTATCTGTGGGTGGTTTGGTTTTCATGGAGCTATAAGAAAGCAAGGTATTTGTTGTTTACTATATAAATAATCAAATTTATTGTTTAGAATTTTTGGTGGTGGCAGTTTGTTTAGGAATTTCAAGAAAATACCATAGGATATTTATGAAATTAACACTGAACTAAATTCTTTGTCATGGTTTTGCTGCTACCTAGTGAGGTGCGTGACAATGTCAAGTCACCAAACCTGCTTATTAGACATTTGTTCCCTCATCTACAAAACAAAGGAGGCAAAAAATGACCATCGGGCTCACTCCAACCCTCATATTCTTTTCCCTTAAATCTGTGAATAAAATTTTAAGACATGAGGATGGTACTGTGGCATTTTTATCTTCCTCAGGATCCTGTACCCAGTGGATTTTCTGCAGGAGAAGTTTTGATTCCGTTAGCTGATGAATATGATCCTATGTTCCCTAATGATTATGAGAAAGTGGTAAAGCGCCAAAGAGAGGAACGACAGAGACAGCGGGAGCTGGAACGACAAAAAGAAATAGAAGAGAGAGAAAAGTAAGGCTTCTTCTGAATTTGGGGATATTTTATATTTGAAATACAGGTCTGGCAGAAGTAAGGCCTGCTTGAGTGTTATTGGTAGGATAATAATATGGGTATAATAATTTATAGTTTTAATTTGAACATTTTACCTAAAATGTCATATGGTGTGCTTCAGTGTGATACAGTTATGTTACAGAGTTACATGCTTATGATTTTGTAATAAAAAAGAGGCTTCATTTGTGCCAGACCCTGTATTTATGAGAATGTTAATGAATGTACTTCAGTGCTGTTCATAAGGCTGAAGTTAGTTTTTGTGGTTGATCTGAGCGCTCATCAGAAAGAATCTAACTGTTTTTAAAAGTTTTTAGTTGTTACATCCCAGCATGAAAACAAACTCTCCAGCAAATTTCCTATATAGGTACAAAAAATTTAAAGTATATATTTTGGGTGAGTTGTTAGAAAAGTACCTTAGAATCCTAGTGTTGAACAATAGTTTCTTTCCTATGCTATGACTCTTCTATAATCATAACTTCAAAATACTTAATTTGTTATTGTTTAACTATTTTTAAGCAAGATGGAATTTTTTAAGACATATGTATCTTTTATTTGTGTTTTTTAAAAATATGGGTAACAAGGATTTGTTTGTATTTTTTCTTTTAAAAACATTGAATATTGCCCTGGCCGGGTAGCTTGGTTGGAGCTTTGTCCTGATGCTCCAAGATTATGGGCTTGATCCCTAATCAGGACACATGCAGGAATCAACTGGTAAATGCATGGATGAGTAGAGCAGTGGGTAGATGTCTCCGTCCCTTTGTCACTCTCCTCCCCCTTCCCCTCTCTCTCTTTAAAAAAAATCAGCCCTGGCTGGTATGACTCAGTGCATTGAGCACCAGTCTGCAAACCAAAGGGTTGCCGGTTTGATTCCCAGTCAGGACACATGCCTGACCATGCCCAGGTGGGGCACATGAGAGCCCCACACATTGATGTTTCTATCCCTTTTTTTCTCCCTCCCTTTTTCTAAAAATAAATCATTAAAATGTTTTTAAAAGGTCAAATACAAATATTGAATATTGGTTAAATTTTAAAGAAAATATTAATACAGTGTTTCTCGTTTTATCATGAAGCTAAGGCATATTCATTTTTTGCCGATGTGACAAAAAATAAGTATAGTTTTGATTCATTCATACCAAACAGCTCTTGTGTTGGCTGTTGTCATTTTTTTAATCTGACCATCTGAGGGAATAGAGGTCGTGCCTCTGACTAAACAGTCAGGTGCTGCCGGTTTTAGACATTTATGCAGCACAACGCGCCTCTTTGGGGACTTGGGTTGGAAATCACTGTTCCAGAGAATCAGAATTGTCAGACTGTTACCTGTGTTGATATGCTTTAAAACTGAAATTGGTAAACGTCAAAAAAGAGTTTTTCTTGGCACTTACACTTGTGTACCTATTAAATATGTTCACTTTATCTTCTGAATTTTTCTCACTTCTCATCCTTTTGTTACTTTAGACATTAACCAGTTGATTGTGCACACCCCTCCTTGCATTATTAGTTTAGTGTGAAGGGGAGGGTGTGGGTATTTCTAGCCAAAAGAACGTCAAGGTAACGTCTTTTGATTTCACATCTCTAAATAGGCTTGTCTGTAATGAACATGGGTTCTTCTATTATCACAGGAGGCGTAAGGACCGACACGAAGCTAGTGGATTTTCAAGACGACCAGATCCAGATTCTGATGAAGATGAAGACTACGAGCGAGAGAGGAGAAAAAGAAGTAAGGCATGAACATAAATATTATGTTTCCAATATGGTGTAGTTCCACTATTTGCTTTTCATGCTCACTATGATAAATAAATAGGTCAGTTGACATTGATTTAGGTAATTTTCTTGCGGGAATCCTAGCCATCCACATTTGCATATGTCCTTAATTTATTTTGAGTTTTCACCTATAATTCTTCTTTGAGCTTCCCAACCACTTTCTAACATTTATTAAGTAGACACTTTGAGCATATCTTAAAATACATACGCACACTTTTTTTACTTGTAGCACAGTCACAGTGACTGATTTCTCTGTCCAGCTTCGTTTCTGTCACACACTGAATGGAGGAGAGTCAGGGCACTTGTTTCCAGAACATTTGCCACTGACATGAGTAAAACTGAGGGCAGCACTTAGGTTCCCTGGACATTGGTTTCTCTCAGTGTCATTTGGAGAGCAGGAAGACAAGAAGTTGAACTAGTTCATAAGGCTCCTTTTAGCTCTAAAATTTTACAAGCAGAGTTGTAATTGCGTAACAGCTAAATCCTTAGTGATCACTAGACAGTTAAGCAGTGTTTGTTGAGTGCTTCTTATTTTAGCTTCATCATGTTTTGATTGCTGAGATTTCCTTGATTTATTAATGAATTTGGCCAATAGATTGAGATTTAAGTGAGAAATATAAGTCTTCTACTTGTTTGCTTGTATCAGGCTCTGTTCTAAGCACTTTCATAGATTATGTCCTTTACGCCACATGACAACGCAGGGTGGCTCTGTGGTTCTGCCCATTTTAACAGTGGGAAATGTGAGCCACAGAGGGAAGAAGCACTTCATGAGATACAGGTACTCTGTTCGTCTTATCCAGGACCTTCATCTACCTGAAATCCTCATTGTAATGTGCTCATCTCTAACATACAACCTGAAAATAATACGATCATGAAGCTGGAATATATTTCTGTATCTATGAACCTTATTTTATATATAGCCAGGAGTGTCTTAGGGTTAATTTAAATTTTAAAATACGAAAGGAGTGAGTTTTTAATGATATAGAATTCTTTTTCAATTAAGGTATGAATTAAATGTATTTGTATAATACTTAATATTCAACAACAACAAAGAAAATCAAGCCCCTGTATACAGAGAACAGATTGCTGGTTGCCAGGGGTGGGGAGTGGGATAAAAAGGTGAAGGGTCAAAGGTACAAGCTTCCAGTTACAAAATAAATAAGTAACTCTCGAGGATGTAATGTCCAGCATGGTGCCTATAGTTTATAGCACCATATTGCATATTTGAAAGTTCCTGAGTAAATCCTAGAAGTTCTCATCACAAGAAAAAAAATTGTAAATAAGTATGGTGACAAATGTTACTGAGTGTAATAATCACTCTGCAATGCATACAAGTATTGAATTATTACCTTGTACACCTGAAACTGGTATCAGATGTCAGTTATACCTCAGCAACAACAGAAGAATGCTTGGTACAAGCTTGATATTGTTGTACACCACATTGTTTTTCCAGTGGGAGGAAAGTTACCATTTGAGTGTGCTCAACACTTCAAATACTAATGTTAAAATTTTTTAAATCCATTAGCTCATTAATCAGCAAATGTTTAGTTTTTGTTAACTTTTTGGAATCCAATATATAGGTTGAATAATTATTGGTCTTATTCTTTCAGCTTACAAATTGGCTGCCCTTTTTGTAAGGAGGTAGGCCTTCTCTCTGAAGGCCATTCATTTGCTTGAACATTAACAGGAACTATACATTGAATAGCATCACTATACATTGAATAATGGTGTCACTGGGTGCCATTAGGGAAGTAATGGCATTATGCCCATTATGTATACTGCTGATAACAGATAATGCTTATATCTGAAGCTGATCAGTAGCAAATTTTAAGTAATCACCCTGAATTAAAAAAATATATTTTATTTATTTATCTTTAGAGTAAGAGGAAGGGGGAAAGAGAGGGAGAGAAAAAACATCAATGTGTGGCTGCCCCTTGTGCGCCTCCTACTAGGGACCTGGTCTGCAACCCAGGCATGTGCCCTGACTGGGAATCAAACCTGTGACACTCTGGTTCACAGGCCGGTCCTCAGTGCACTGAGCCACACCAACCAGGGCTCACCCTAAATTTTTTGTATTGAACTCATTAAAGCTAATCTCAGAATCAGTCAGTGATCACTCAGGTCTTAGAGATAAGATTGAAAAATGATAATAGGAGGTATTTCAAAAGAAATACAAGAAAGCTTTTTTCCTGTTTCTCCTTAAGTATTTGTGTGTTCCAGACCTGTTAATCATGATGTGTTGTACTCTGGCTTTGGAGGAATTTCTTCACTGAAACATTTCATGCAGGTGTAGTACTGGCTTTAAAGTCAGTGTTTTGTTGTTATTTATTTACATTTTATTATTTTGGGGGCTATTTTTTGGGTGTACTTAATGAAAATTTCCTTATATTTTGTTTGCATCTGTGTTCTCCATCCATGTTGGATAGTGAATGGAGTCACTTTGGTTTGTTTTTGCTCACTATTCTTTGTCCAGGAAACATGAGCAGGAATGGTGACAACACCAAACAGGCTGTATAGAAACTAGAAGTGCCCGCATTTTCAAATAGGTGTTTAGTCCCAGCGGTTTGCATCCGGGATAGGAGTGTGGAATATTGTGGGGTAAAGCTTGGCGTCACTGGGTGCTGCATTTTATTCTGTCTGCCCACTAACTCTGCTCTGGAAAATGGACACAAATACCTACTTTAAAGGTTCATTAAGACTAAGTAAGATGTTGTGAAAGAACCCGGTGGTTAACATGCTCTTAGTAAACAGTTATGTTACTATTTTTTAGTAACTGCTAATTCTCTGCCTTAAGTTATTTCATCTTAAAATTCATTTATTTACTACATTCTAGAGATCTTGAATGCCTGCTGTGAAAAACATAATTATGTTTGTGTGGCTTTTCCTAGTTTTCTACATTTTTAATCCTAGATTCAGATACTAAATTCTTTAGATGTTAGCTGGAGGGATGAAGTAGCAGATCTTTCTTCTTTCTTTCTTTTGGGGGAGGGGGTTATGTCATAGTGCTGGAGAGTCTGGCAACTACAATGTTCCTTTAACACTGGAATTTATGTTTTTGCAGGTATGGGCGGGGCCGCAATCGCACCACCCACTTCTCTTGTAGAGAAGGACAAAGAGTGTATGTATCTGGTACTTCCTCTCTTTTATGTTGGTAAAAGTCTTGCTTTGGGCAGTATTAGCTTCTGTTGGCCACATGAGCAAAGTCCGTCCTCTGGCCCTAACCCTGAGACCCTGCACGGGTCATTGATGCTGCTCTTCCCTTCTACCCCTTATACTTTAGAACTTTTAATGCCAGTCTCTGAGACTTGGATTTTTATACAGTGAGATTCTTTTATAAAATTTTAAAATTTGTTTTGTCTGCTCCAACATCTCATAGTTGGAGTTAGGTTAAAACAAACAATAGCTCCTCGATTTTCTATTTGTGTACTCGGTAGTTTAGAGGCTGTAAAATTCATGACCTTCCACAAGGTGGCAGTGCCTTTTTGATTAGAGTTTTGTGCCATTTGTTTCCATTCCAGTACGCAGATTGTGTGCCTTTGCTTTCATTGCTAGAACACACCCACCTACTGTTTCTCCTCCCAACGATCTATTCTATAATTTGGGGACCAGAATTGAACTTTGATATATCATTCTAGGTCATTTTCCTGTTCTCTGAGTTGGACCATACCTAAACTATCCCAAGAAAATACAATTGTTCCTAGTGCTTTTTAATAGCTGTTGCACTATTTATTTTATCTTTTTAAAACAGATAACTCAGAAAGTATTGTTAAGTACACTTTGTGTGAAAACACCTGGCAAACCATAAACCCAATTGACCCAATTGAAACCAGTTTCTGGGAGTGGGACCCAAGCATCTAGATTTTTATTTTAATTTTTTAATTAATTAGTTTGTTTAAGATTTTATTTATTTATCTTTAGAGGGGAAGGGAAGGAGAGAGGGAGAGAAATATCAATGTATGGTTGTCTTTCATGCATCCCCTGCTGGGAACTGGCCTGCAACCCAGGCATGTGCCCTGACTGGGAATCAAACCGCTATCCTTTGGTTCGCAGGCCTGCACTCAATTCACTGAGCTACACCAGCCGGGCCTAGATTTTTTAATTAATATATAATTTTTTTGTAGCGAGAGAAACATTCATTTTTTTTTTGCTGGTGTTCTACTTATTTATGCATTCATTGGTTGATTCTTGTATGTTCCCTGACTTGAAATTGAATCAGCAACCTTGGTGTATCAGGAAGATGCTCTTACTAACTGAGCTACCTGGCTAGGGCATCTGGATTTTTTTTTAAAGCGTTCTTACTGATTCTACTATGTAGCTGGGGCTGAAAATCACTGCTCTGGTATATGGTCCATATCCTCAAAGACCTTTATTCTGTGCTAGGCTAATGAAGTAGTAAGCTTAGAGTTCTAAAACAGGTATACAAGAGGCTATGGGAATGGAAAGGGAGTGTGATTGGATCTATCTGGAACATACAGAAATCTTAAGGATTCAGACAAAAATTGTCATTTAAGAATAAAGGATAACTCAAAGAATAAAGGGTAACTTTTAAAGGGTAACATTTCAGTAAGATAAAAAGGGACATTTGAAAAGATAATAAATAGTTGTAGCAAAGCTAAAATTTAAAAAATCGTGGCATATCTCTGTGACTTTAAAAAGTCATGTAGAGGCTGTAAAATGGATTGGGTTTTTTTTCTTACTCCACATAGTAAACTAAAAATGTTAATTAAATTAATTAAAAGTACTGATTTTATGCAGTACAATGTGGAATTTTTTTGTAGTATTTTAGTAAACCTATTTTATTTTTATCCAACAGTACCCCGAGAATTTCCTTATGAAGAAGATTCCAGACCTCGCTCACAGTCTTCCAAAGCTGCCATCCCTCCCCCCATGTATGAGGAACAGGACAGACCCAGATCTCCACCGGGCCCCGGCAACTCCTTCCTCGCCAACATGGGGTAATGGTTCCGAGTGCTGTTGTCTGAGCGGGTGTAAGAAGGGTGAGACGCAGTGTGAAGTGTTGGCAGCACTCCCAGTAGATGCAGCCTGTTTGGTAGTGAGGGCCTTCTCTGGTTTGTAGTGGGGTGCTAGGTGTGTTCGGTCACATACATCATTCTTGAGAACCGTGCTTGAGTCACGTGGAGGGTATTGCAGCACAGTGCTGTTGTATTTTGTACAAAACAGAGCCTTCTAATGTAAGTTTTAGATGATTTTATTGTTGAAAATTATATTCCCTAGGTAGGAACCATTTCTGATAATTATTTATTTACATTTATTTTCATGACATTTGCAAATAAAATAGCTCATGTAAATTACAGCTGACTTATACTATGTCTGAAGGGTGGATGACTTCTTTATTTCTTGATAAAATGAGCCATTTGCTTTAAGGTCATGGTTATACACCTTTAGATTAAAAATAGTCATTCAAACTAAATTAGAGTATTTATTTACCTATATGTAAAAATCTTTTTTAACATTGACTTTGGGGTGGGACTGGTGGAATTTCTTTTTAAACACCATTGGATTTGCCATGCATTTTGGTTAAAAGAATGTTTCATGTTGTTTTTATGTTTCTTTCATGCAGTGAGGTACTATCAAATGAAGCATTATAGTGAGGCCTTTGTTCTGTGTCCTTTAAAAGGACCTGTGACCGAAATGCTATGTCCATAGTAATCACACCAATCTGCCCTTGCCTGTGTTTATATGCTGTGATTCTTAGAGCCCTCAAGAGGTGACTCATCAAGAGTCGGAGTAGGTGGCTGGAGTTCCTGCACTGTAAGAGAATTTTGAATTTCTGACCTTGGTACCCATCCCCTAGACCTGTATTGTTCTCTACCATGTGAATACAATTTAAAATGTAGTTCCTCAGTTATACTAGTCTCATCTCAAGTGCTTGATAACCACCCAAGGCTAACAGCTACGGTCCAGGGCAGTAGAGAGAGAGCACCCCCATCACTGCAGAAAGGTTTGTCAGACCACCCTGCGGTGTATGCTGCAGGGTGAACAGACATCAACTGCGTTGTTTTTTTTCTTGCTCATGATAAAAATGGACTTTTTTGCTGAATTCCCTTTTGAACAGGAATTCAGTCTTTAACTTATGCTTAAGGAAGATGCAGTGTGGTGCCTTTCAGCAGTTTTCAGCCTTTAGCCCTTTAACAGCTTCAAATGAAATTTTTAAGGAAATCATAAAACACGAAGTAAAGTGGGTACAGTTCTAGTTGAAGCAGGTTTTTTTGGTTGTTGGCTATTTGGTAGGTTTGGTTTCTTTTTTTCCCCCACCTTATTTTCTTTTTATTTTATTGATTATGCCATTAGAGTTGTTCTATTCCCCCCTTCATTCCCCTCCCCCTGCACACCTCTTCCCCACCATTCCCCCCCCCATTTAGTTTATGACCACGTGTCTCAAGTTCTTTAGATTCTGTATTTCCCCTACTATTCTTACCCTCCCCCCTATTTTCTATCTACGGTCTATGCTACTTATTTTCTGTACCTTCTCCCCCTTCTCCTCCCACTCCCCTGTTGCTAACTCTTCATGTGATCTTCATTTCTATGGTTGCTCCTGATCTAGCTCTCCTCTTAGTTTGCTTTTGTTTTAGGTGTGGTTGTTAATAACTGTGAGTTTGCTATCCTTTCACTGTTCATCTTTTTTATCTTCTTTTTCTTAGGTAAGTCTCTTTAACATTTCATATAATAATGGCTTGGTGACGATGAACTCCTTGAACTTGATCTTATCTGAGAAGCACTTTATCTGTCCTTCCATTCTAAATGAAAACTTTGCTGGATACAGCAATCTTGGTTGTAGGTCTTTGGTTTTCATGACTTGGAATACCTCTTTCCAGCCCCTTCTTGCCTGTAAGGTCTCTTTTGAGAAATCAACTGACAATCTGATGGAAACTCCTTTGTAGGTGACTGTCCCCTTATCTCTTGCTGCTTCTAGGATTCTCTCCTCCATTTTAATCTTGGCTAATGTAATGATGATGTGCCTTATCGTGTTCCTCCTTGGGTCCAACTTCTTTGGGACTCTCTGAGCTTCCTGGATTTCCTGGAAGTCTTATTTCCTTTGCCAGATTAGGGAAGTTCTTTACTGTTTGTTCAAATAAGTTTTCCATTCATGGCTGTTCCTCTTCCCCTTCTGGATGAACACCCCTATAATTCGGATGTTGGAGTGTTTAAAGATGTCCTGGAGGTTCCTAAGCCTCTCCTCATTTTTTTTAATTCTTATTTCTTCGTATTTTTCTGTTTGGTCATTTTTTTCTTCCTTCTGGTCTGCTCCCTTGATTTGAGTCCCAGCTTCCTTTTCCATCACTATTGCTTTCCTGTACATTTCCCTTTGTTTCAATTAGTTTAGCCTTTATGTGTTCCTCTAATTTGTGACTAAATCAACCAGTTCTGTGAGCATCCTGATCACCAGTGTTTTGAACTGTGCCTCCGATAGGTTGGCAATTTCTTGTTCGCTTAGATTTATGGGCTCGGGGGCTCTGAGTTCTTCTTGAGCCATGTTTTGATCTATTCGCACCTGTTACATTTGAGGAGAGAAGCCTTAGTTGTTCACCAGGATGGGGCCCCCCAGGTTGCTGCTTTGTGATGCTGTATGTGGGGGGCGGGGTCAGAGAGGGAGCAATAGCGGTCCTCTCTGCTCCTTACTGCCACTGGGGCCTGCCCGGTCTGTCTCAATGCTCGCTCCTTCGCTGGTTTATCAGTCTAGCTGAGTGGTTTGTTGTTGTCGGACTTTGTATTGTTCAATATTCTGTGGCTCGGCTGCACTTATTGTTCCTAAAACTTTGTTGTTTTTAGATTTGGTTGTGTGAGAAGGCAAACTGTTTCCACCTACGCCTCCATCTTGGAGGAAGTCCTGAAGCAGGGTTTTGTGGTTCAAGCCTTAGGTAGCAGCGGTTGCTAGGGGTCACCCTTGAGACCTGTGAGGCACCTCCCAGAACTGGCTGGGTAGCTCAGCTGGTTAGAGCATTGTCCCCATGAACCATGGCTGTGGGTTCAATCCCTGGTCATGGTACACACAAGAAGCAACCAATGAATGTGTGAATAAGTGGAAGAACAAATTGATGTCTCTCTCTCTCTCTCTCTAAAAATCAATAAATAAAAATAATTTTTTTAAAAGAGGAAAGTTATGGTATTAGAGAAAGCAGTGAACTGAGAATTAAGAGTTGTGGGTTCCAGTTTCGATTCTGCCATTAACACCTACAGAAATAATTTTTAATTGTTGTGTTTGTTTTTGTTTCTAATTAGCTTTAAGCTAGTCAGCTAATCTGGGCCTCAGTTTCTTTATTTTCCCATCAGTTAAACGATGATCTCTAGGAGCTCTTTATTTGTAAAGGCTATCCTTGGAAACTACTGTACCATTTAGGAAAAGACAACCTTCATTAAATTTTTATTTTTCCATTACAGTTGGCATACAATATTACATCAGTTGCAGGTGTACACCGCAGTGATTAGACATTGTATAACTTACTAAGTGACCACCCTGATAATTCTGATACCCATCTGGTACCATACGTAGTTACTACAGTATTGTCGACTATATTCCCTGTGCTGTGCTTTACATCCATCTACATGACTATTCCGTAACTATACCAATTTGTACTTCTTCATCCCTTCACTTTTTTACCCATCTCCCCAATCCCCCTCCCATCTGGCAGCCGTCAAAATGTTCTCTTTATCTGTGGGTCTGTTTCTGTTCTGCTTGTTTATTTATGTGTGTATTTATTTATTTTTTGATTCTACATCCCAGTGAAGAAATCATATGGCATTTGTTTTCCTCTCTCTGACTTACTTACTCAGCACAGTTCCCCATAGACCCATGTACATTGTTGCAGATAGCAAGATTTCATCATTTAAAGTAATTGTTGATGGATGTGTATTTATTGCCATTTTATTATTCATACTTATTTTTCTTCTTAAAAAAGGCCCTTTAACATTTCTTGTAATACTGGTTTGGTGGTAATGAACTCCCTTAGCTTTTTCTTGTCTGGGAAGCCCTTTATTTGTCCTTTGGTTCTAAATAATAGTTTTGTTGGGTAGAGCAGTCTTGATTGTGGGTCATTGTTTTTTATCACTTTGAGTGTTTTTTGCCAATCCCTTCTGGCCTGTGTAGTTTCTGTTGAAAAATTAGCTGACAGTCTTACAGAAGCTCCCTTGTACATAACCGCTTTTCTCTTGCTACTTTTGAGATTCTTTGCCGTTAACCTTTGGTGTTTTAATGATGATATGTCTTGGTGTGTGCTGGGCCTCTTCAGGTTAAACTTGTTTGGGACTCTGCACTTCCTTGACAGGCACATTTAAAAACAAACAGTGGTTGTAAGATATACCAATGCATGGAATTGAAAGAACAATATAAACAAGGAAATAAACCAAACAGACTCAGGGAACAGATAGATACAGGGAACAGATTGATGGTACCAAAGGGGAGAGGGTTTAGGGGGCAGGGTGAAAAAGGTAAAGGGATTAAGAAATACGGATTGGTAGTTATGAAACAGCCACAGAGGTGTAAAATATAGCACAGGAAGTATAATCAATAATATTGTAATTGTGTATATTGCCAGGTGGGTCCTGGAAATTTCCAGGGAGACACTCAGTAAAGTATGTGATTGTCTAATCACTTTGCTATATACCTGGAACTAATACGAAATAATATTAAATGTAAACTGTAATTGAAGAAAAGATGTATTGCAATTCAGATACTAGAACACACTGTTCTACTGTTAGAAAAGCTTTACTGTTTTCTAACAGGGCTACTAGGGAAATTTTGTTAGGAAACCTTAATATTTTTCTTGCCTAAGAGATAATCTCAAGATGTCCAGGGTTTCAGCATTAGTTTTTCATATTTCTTTCATCCTGAACATCCCCACAACTTCATCTAATGGCTCATTGTTAATTATATGTGACCTCATTGAAGCCCTTACAGAATTTCTCTTCTCCCAAAAGTAGAGTGTTATGATATAAAATCCAATTTATGCTTTAGCTGATGACTTCAGATGTAAAGGACTTCCTCCTTTTCTTCCTGCCAGTGGCACAGTAGCACATAAAATCATGCAGAAGTATGGCTTCCGGGAAGGCCAGGGTCTTGGGAAGCATGAGCAAGGGCTGAGCACGGCACTGTCAGTGGAGAAGACGAGCAAGCGAGGAGGCAAGATCATCGTGGGCGAAGCCACAGAGAAAGGTGGGTCTTCCTCAGAAGCAGGGGGAAGTGCAGTCCAGAGGAAGAGGAATGGCCCTCTCTTGAACATAATAAGAGAATTCCTCATTGGATACATTTCAGTTCTGTGTTGTGCCTCATCTTTATTCAGAACAGATGTAGAGATAGAAAGGCCCATAGGAAAAAAAAGACAGTGACTTTCCCAGAAAATAAACAATACTTAAGAAAATAAGTTCATGTTTAATTCTACTAGGCAAAGAATCTACATTGATAAGATCAGTTACGTTTTTATAGCATGAAAGACAGAACCACATACAAGTATATCAGTGATAATATCCGATATATTTCCATCCTATAAGGGCTCGTATTGGTAGAAGATGGCTCTTTAGTGTTTTATTTTTGTTCTGTCAATACACAGCTTTAGGAAGTAGTCAGCATAGAGTTGCCCTGATTTGTGGAAGTATCTGTAGTCAGTCAGCCACTAGCTGGCTAATGGGATGGATGTGCTCTGTCAACCCTTTAAGAAGTGAACTAAGTGAAAATTGTAGGTAACTGGGAAGCTAAAAACTTCCAGAAATTATAGTAAAAGCCTACCATTTTAGGACTATAAGACACACCTAAGTGTTAGAGGAGGAAAATAGGAAAAAAGTTTTTGAAGCAAAAAATGTGGTAAAATATGTAATAACATAAATACACAATATCTCACCAATATAAATGTAAACTACATTTACTAGCCTGGTAAGCTACATTCGGACTATAAGACATACCCCCATTTCCCCCCCAAATTTTGGGGGTATGTCTTATAGTCCAAAAACATGGTATGCCAGAGCAGAGTGAATGCTTTTATTACAGACAAGGTTACATTTTTGCTCAGCTCTAGGTGCCTGTAGATAACTCTAGGATATTGGGGGTTGCTACTGAAATTAAATTATTCATTGTAACTTGGACTCAGTGCTCTAACATGTCTACATCTGATGATTTGCTTGCCCACAGATGCAGCCAAGAAGTCAGACTCAAATCCATTAACCGAAATACTTAAGTGTCCTACTAAAGTGGTCCTACTAAGGGTAAGAAGCAGAAGGAAGAAATCTGTTTGCCCACCTTGATTTATGTGTTACTCCACCCTAACCTAGCCCTGCATGTGTTCAGCACCACTGAGACCATAATGGGTAAAGAAAACAGAAAATCATACTTTGGCAAACAGTACTTTTGGATAGACTCCATATATGTGATATTTTTACTAATGTTTAGTTACAATAATTACTTTAAAATGTTTGAAATTGTTAGACGCTTAGTTTAGTTTATGCGCTTTGATGCTTGCATAACTGGTCTTGTAACTGTGAAGCTTAGTGTATATTTTTATTTTATTTTATTTTTAAGAAATAGCATTTGGGGAGACTACAAGGATAAACATTGTTTTATTTGGGATGGAGAACATTTGCTATCATAAAGTTATTTATACATCTTACCTATGTATTTATAAATTGTACTTGATACTTGAATTGATTTATTTTTGTTTATAGAACATGGTTGGTGCAGGAGAGGTAGATGAAGACTTGGAAGTTGAAACCAAGGAAGAATGTGAAAAATATGGCAAAGTTGGAAAATGTGTGATATTTGAAGTAAGAGGATTTCTTTTGATATTTATAACGTGTAATGATTGACAGCTTATAAAACATTTTCTACAAAAAGACAGGTATGCTGTGCTGAAATAACAGTGTCATACTATGGAAGGTGGCAGGTGTTAGTTATATTTCTCTTACTTGGTTGTGGCCATTTTAAACATAAAGATAAGAAAGACTTCAAATTTTATTTGGAGAAGAAATAAAAAATGTATGGTTAAGGTTTAGTTTGGTGATTAAAGACTTTGATGATAAATAATATGCTCAATAATTTAGTTACTTTGACATGCTTTTGGTTTCATTCATTTACCAAGTATATACTTAGTGCCTTTCACATATCCAATAGTGTGTTGAGAGCATTTGGGATGTTCTGTGTTCTCAGGGATATGATCAGTTGACATAACAAAACAAGTACGTGAAAAAACAGACACTATTTTGTTGCTAGACTCAGTAGTATTGACTCGAAGCACTGGAGTTGAGAAAAGGATTAGGTCAACAACAAAAAAGGAAGGCTTGGTGACTATCAGATGGAGCTAAGCTTTGAAATGACTGGATAGCATCTGGATAGGAGGGAAAAATACCCAGATTAGGGTCACAGCTTCTGAGAGACTGACAAAGTCTCTCAGAATGGGATGGTTGGGCATGTTTGGGATTAACCAGAGACACGCTTACGTAGATGGGATGGGGCCATATTATTCAGGGCATAGAAAGCACAGCAAAGGAATTCAGCCTATTATGAGAGACAAAAAGAATGCAACACTTTTTATCTTAAATTTCTGCCCTCTCTGTGCTTCCCTTCTGTATCATGTTGCTTTTTATTTACCACATAATTATTTATGTGTCAGCTGTCATAGGACCTCCACAAGGTCAGACTGCTTTCATGTGGACACTGGCCTGCAGTGTCCAAGGCATTATGGATGAGATGAGATAAATTCACATCGACTACTGAGTCCTATGGAGGAAAAGGGATGACACCGCCACTCTCAAGAGGAGAGTGCGCCAACCCTTGCCTTGACAAGCTTTTATTGGCTTTTTAATAGCATACATCAAATGAGGTTTTCATTCATTATACTTAAGTTTGCTTTAGGTAATTATTTTTTACAGATAGCAATGGAAAGGGATGTTACTGATTACTTCTTACAGATTAACAAGGAAAAAAAGTTGCAAATTCGAGGGAATGGTAAGAGTAATATGCCTGGTTACAAACACTTCAGTCCTTGGGAGAATTAGCACAGACTTCAGAAAGTTACTTTAAAGATAGGCAGTAAGCTTTTGCTTCCTGAACTCAGGGTGAGGAAGTTTTAGCAAGGGCAAGTAACAAAGCAGCTTAGTTATAATGCAGGCCTGCTTTCCCATGGGAGAACCAATCCGTGGGCATGGTCCTGCATGCATACTCGCTCCCCACTGGTTTTCCATGTGGGTGCTGAGCTCCATTTCCATGGCTTGTGAAGCGGTTCCCTACACTCCTTTGCTTAGCTGTGCACTCCCAACACCTAACACTGTGCCTGTTGTAAACAGCTGTTTAGGAAATGTTTGATGGCAATTTCCTTGGTATTTGACTACTACTTATTTGTATATGATGATAATTGGAACACTTATTCTTAACAAAAATCACTTAAGTGACATCTCAAATGATGACTTTTCCTATTACACTATTTTTTTTCCAGATTCCTGGTGCCCCTGATGATGAAGCAGTACGAATATTTTTGGAATTTGAGCGGGTTGAATCAGCAATTAAAGGTAAGTTGTACAACTAAATATAAAAAATTAAAAAGTTGAATTTGTTATCTTGTTATAATTAAAACATTCTTGTAATGTTTTACAGGAACTTGTATTAACTGGCTGTATTTTTGTTTGCCTTTTAGCTGTCGTTGATCTGAATGGGAGGTATTTCGGTGGACGGGTGGTAAAAGCTTGTTTCTACAATTTGGATAAATTCAGGGTCTTGGATTTGGCAGAACAAGTTTGATTTTAAGAACCAGAGCACAAGCGGCACGCTGAGCAGACAAGAAAAAGGCGACAGCCAGCTTGCATGGCTGTCGGGTTGCAGAGATTCTTAGAAGGACTGCTAAGATATATGTTGATTAATCCCTTTTTTATTTTGTGGTTTTTTAATATAGTATAAAAATCCTTTTAAAAAACAAATCTGCGTGCCTCTCTGGTTGTTTCTCCTTTGTTTTTCTTTTAAAGATTTTTATTTATTTATCATTAGAGAGAGGGGAAGGGAAGGACAGAGAGAGGGAAACAGTGCTGTGTGATCGATTTGGTTGCCTCTCACATGCTCCTAACTGGAGACCTGGCCCAGAACCCAAGTGCGTGCCCTGACTGGGAGTAGAACCAGCAACCCTTCAGTTTGCAGGCTGGCACTCAGTCCATGGAGCCACACCAGCCAGGGCTGTTTCTCTTTTTTATTACCACTTCTGAGGTAATTAATTTTGTTTTGCTAGGATTTCGTGATAATTCTCAAGTCTTCAGAGATACGGTATTTCTTGCACTAAAAAAAAAAAAAAAAAATCTAGATGAGTTTCAGGATAAGGGATTGCATTCAGTTGTCTTTTTCTTTCTATAAAACCTGCAAGTTAGTATAGCTTCAACAATTTAGCTTCATTAATTCTATAATAAAGTATCATCTTGGCAGTCTGCCAAAGGTGAAAATATCTGCTTTCTCTAACAGAGAAATTCTTTTTATTGACGTTAGTCACAGAAAAAAATCTTTGCAATGTGAGCAATGGTTGAAGAATTGTGAACTTACCGTGACCTGTTTGGGTGAATCATTTCAATTAAGCTAAGTCAGACTGTAGGATTTGTGGTGGATTTAGGCTATAGAAGTCATGAATCTATCATTTGTTTTTAGATATTCAAACATAGTCTTTGGCATAGATCAGAAATGACAAGTTAGTTCAACACCTCACAGGTACATTGTAAATGTGTTATGCCCATAATGTTGTGGGAATGGTGGTTCCTTGGGGTCACATTTCTACTGGCAAAATTTTCAAGAGTGTTCTTTTTTTTTTTTTAACCCTTTTTTTTTACAGGGGAAGGGAGGGAGAAAGAAAAGAAAAGAAACATTTATCAGTTTCCTCTGGCATGGCACCAGCTGGGGACCTGGCCTACAACCCAGGCATGTGTCCTGGCTGGGAATCGAACCTGCGACCTTTCAGGTCTCAGGCCAGCGCTCAATCCACTGATCCATAGCAGCCAGATCAAGAGTGTTAATTCTTATATGTAATTCTAAAATTTATAAAATTAAGCTGCATTAGCTACTTAAACTGTACTACCAACTAATATATTTTCAGGATTATGAAAAATTGTACTATTGAAGCACAGTGGTGTCTGTGGCTTCAAATTTTAGCAGAGCCACAAAAAAGAAAATGTAAACATATTTGGTACTGGGATTCATTGCCAGAGCAGGAAGTGTTTCCAGAATCTACTTGTGTCTGTGTTCTGTTCCTTGCTTGCGGGAATATTGCATTTGATTTTCCTGAGGTGGCAACTGAAGGACATGGACCGATGTCTCCTTAGGTGGTTGTGACTGGAAAGTGCACTGCGACCCTTCAGGACGGGAAAGCACTCAACATTTCTTCATGTCCACGGACTTGGTCTGGGGGTCCAAGGAGTACTCTGACTTTTTAAAAAAGACTTTTCTCATGTTTTTATTTAACATAAATAAAAGAATACATTTTCTCTTTTGTGGTCTTATTTTACTGAGTTAAATTTAATTGAGACTTGGTTTTTGTGATTAAAGTACACATATTTTCTAAAATAAGTTTAGGTTAAAAGATTATTGTTTAAAGTCAGTTTGGGTTAAAGATTTTAATGTAAAAGATTAATGTACATAACTTTATGTACATTAGTACATAATGTACATAAGTACAATTATGTGCATTTAATGTACATAACTGAACATTTTGCAGGACTAAGAGTCATCTGCAGCCCTGAAACTTGCATAGGTCTACCTATGGACTTACTACCAACCAAATATGCTTATTCTGGGTATTATGCTGGCTTAGTTTAATTTGTATTAAAACTTCTAATATTCTTAAAGTATAAGTTCCAAACAGCCTGTGATGTCTGCCTTATTATTATTTTGCTGCATAATAACATCATGTATTTGCATTTAGGTGGCTTTTTCTTACGTTCTCATGATCAACAACCAGAGAAATGCAAAGTTACTTAACACTGCTTTAACTTTTAGTACTGTGGACACAACTTGGTGAATAGCTTTCTCCCCAGTCTTTAGTTACTACTTTTTCATCTCCTGCAAGATAGTGCTTGAGAAATTTTAAATTAATAGTTAATATTAACTAAAATTCCAATTTAACTTCAATGTAAAAATTCCAATATAAATAAAAATTAAAGGTTCAGTAGACATTTGGCCTTCCTGGCCTACTTGTGATGTTCTGAAAACCCTTCCTGTGTTTGCGGAGTTTCCTGCATTCACCCCCCCAAAACAGAGATTAGAAACTCATTTCCCATTCTGTCTTGCAGCTAAGGCAGGCATCCCAGCCTGGGCTCTTTACATAAGATGTGCCACCCCAAGGCTTTAGCTTGGAGCGGAGCTCATCCAGGATCCATGCTCACAATGGCTAGGGCAGGCACAGTGTTGTCTAGCCTTTGGGTGGTGGTAGCAGAGACCTTGTCATCAGTAATCTTGTGGTGGGACCACTTGTGTGGCAGGGCAGTCTTTGGAGCAGTTTCTGGATGTGATTTGAGAGTTTTCTTGCTTTATATAAAACCTCCAGATAAGACTAGGGCCTGTCTGGAGATTCTGTTGACTAGTATGTTTGTTTTGGTTGGGAGTGTGGTAAATTCCTTTTTAGTTTAAATACGCCAGAGTGAGTGTTCTCATTTGCAACTAAAAACAGTGGACTGATAAACCAGTTGATACTGGAATTGCAAACGACAAATCCTAGAAGATGGAGAGGTAGAACAAGGGAACCCACTATCCTAGGTTAGTTGGTGAAGTTAGTTAATTGTTAGCAAAACATTTTGTACAATTGTTACCTGACCTCAGGGTACAGACCAGACTGGTATTAAGAGAAATGATGAGGGAACTGCAGGATGTTAGCATGTGTTTGGTCACTTCTCAGATGTGTTAGTGTTGGACTGCATGTATCAAACCCTGGTTCTACTTACATGCTATGTGGCCAGGTGCCTCAGTTAAAAATGGAAATGCTAATCATACCCATTTTTTAGGAATATTAGGAGGATTAAACAACTTATACATGGAAAGCAGTATCACAGAAGTATTGAAAAAATACAAGCTGCCAAGGCCTGTAAAAGCAATTAAATCAAACTAAAGGAAGCTGGTTTGAAAGCAGAGGGAAGAAAACAGCCTTACTAAGAGCAGCTTTTCTCTGCTTGCAACCTGTAGTCTGAGTGAGTGGAAAGTTGCAAGGCTTAGTACTGATGATTTGGGAAAACCTACTTTCGCTGAAACTCAACCGAAGGGCCCACCAGTGGCCTCAGTAGGAGTTGAGATTAGAGATTATAGTCTTGTAAAAATGGAATTAAAGATGCTGCTTTCCCACTTCATAAGATGGCTTTGGATTGCCCTAAGACAATAGCCACCAGTAAGGTAAGAAGAAGGGACTGGAGACAGCCCCAGAGACCAGCTGCTACAAGACAAAAATGCTCAGCTCAAAGACCATGTTATTGAGATGTTTGTGTTGACTTGAGCATGGAGTGTGAAGCATCCTGCTTGTTTTCTGCCCTCGCACATTAAAGGCAGATAACTTGGCTTCTTAGCTGTAGGTCTGCACCAGGTAGGACCACGTGTGGACCTCAAAGAAAACTGCATTTACCCAGAGATTTTTGGACTGGGATCAATAACTGGAAGAGACTTGAAAAGTCATCTTCCTTAGGTTGGGGGTCAGTGTTCTTACAGTGTACATGTGGGGAGAACAGTGAATACTTTGGGGAGAGCCAGAGAGGTTGATGTGTGGCAGATACTGCATATCCCAGTACCTTTCCCCAAACTCCTTTCTATCGTATGCCTCTTGTTTTAACAGCTGGAAAATTCTTAATGTGGAGATAGGAGTGGCCGTGTGTCATTTTGGGTCAGTGAGATATAAGTGGCAATGTAGTTTACATTTACATAGTTTTACAGATGCTTTTTACTTGCCCAGCCAAGCCATGGCAGCCCTTCAGTGAACTTCAATTCAGGTGATTAGCCAACGTGCCAAGGATAGTAGGAAGAAAGGCCCAGTCGCATCAGTGCGGTGCTGCCATGCCCAAGGTGTGACTCCTCTGAGTGGAGAAACTGCCATTGTCTGATGGTTTCTTTGGCTTGAAGGTAAATTTACCTCTTGCTGGTACAGTCAGCCTACTTCCAAAACGTGTATAATATATTCAGAAGCTGGGGGTGGGGGACAGGGTTTTTTTGCACATAATTTAAAAATCACCTATTAGTGTAAAATGTTGCAGACTATTTTCTCATAGTTTGCTTTTCCTGTAAGTGGTTCCTACCTAAACTGAAAGAGAATTCAGTTTTTCAGTGAATTCAACAAGCATTTCTTTGTCATGTGCTATGTATAAGTATTATTTTTAGTACTGGGAATGAAAAATGAATAAGGTAATTGTCCTTGGTTTCAGAATTTGTAGTTCATTTCAGATACACAAAAGCAAAACAGTACAAGGTAAATCCTACTGAAACAAAAGGTGAGTGACTGGGCTCTTTGGAGTTAATGACATAGTTTTTGTCTCTGGTTGCAGCATCTGATAGACAAAAAAAATTGGCAGTAAATTTGATGATTATGTATAAATTACTGAAAGTTCACATATATATAACTCAGCAGATTTGTTAGGACTGGTCAAGTCAGATGGCAATAAAGAAGAGGTGATTTGTGCCAGGTATTTTTTTTTAAGATTGTATTTATTTTTTAGAGAGGGGAAGGGAGGGAGAAAGAGAGGGAGAGAAGCATCAATGTGTGGTTGCCTCTCCTGAGCCCCCACTGGGGACCCGGCCTGCACCCCAGGCATGTGCTCTGACTGGGAATCAAACCGGCAACCCGTTGGTTCCGAGGCTGGCATTCAATCCACTGAGCCACACCAACCAGGGCTGTGCTAGGTCTTGAAGGAAGATGGGGATTGCCAGCTAGACAGGCAAGAGAAGGGCTTTTCAGACAGAAGTGCAAGGGAAGGAC